AATAATTCCCCATCTCTCCTAGGGATCAGGATCTGATCAGCATGGGAATGCTTTTCTCAGGGCCTGGCCTAACTAGAATGTCCTAAAAAAGTACAGGTTCCCAGGAAGCACAACTATTCTTTTAATTATTGTAATCTTATACTTGAATCTGAGCTCTGTGAGAGGAGGAACCATATCTATCTTTTTCATTGCTGTTTTCTCAGTACCTGGCACACAGAAGAAATTCAAATATTTGTGAAACGAATGAATGCTAAAAGCTTCCATTGTGAAGTAAAGTATATGCCTAAGACTAATATCTTACATGAGTCTAAACATCCTTGACGTCAAGCTCTGGGTCTTAGAATCATATCTCCAAGGCCTAGCACATTACCTGGTACTGTTTATAGTATTCAATAAATATTTAGTTTAATTACTGAATAATAAATACTGGTTTGAAACCTAAATGACATTATATGATTCATAAAATGATTTTTAAGATTAGGGTTTATTGTACTTACTTACATAAGGACTGCATTTTTTCAAAGATATTTTATTGCTAAATTATGGCAAAGAAATAATACACTAATAATGTTTCCCAAGCCATGAAGCCAGGAAATCCATGGTTATCAGTATTAGTAGTTAATTGGCTGATCAGAATTTCAAAGGATACTGATAGCTATATAAGTGCAATTCTGTGATATTTTTATGTTTAAATAACTAAGCATTTGTGCTATAAACACATTTATATCCTAAATGCCTTTTCTGCTCTATCAAATATGGTTGTTAACCAATTTAGGTAAAACGGTAATACTATATCCTATCTAGTACAGATCTTTTTCCTTTTTAAAAAAAATTTAGGTATAATTTGCATATACTTTACAGATCTTAAGTGTTCAGTCTGATGAGTTTTGACAGTTGTGTACACCTGTGTAACCACCATCCCAAATTACATACCCAGAACATTTCTTTTACCCGGAATTCCTTCCTGTCCCTTTATAGTCAGTTTCAACCCCTCATCCTGAGGCAGCTACTCTCTCATTTCTATCACCACGTTAGCTGCTTTTTCTTAAGCTTCACATAAATTGAACCATTCAGTATGCACTTTTTTGTGTCTATTAATAGCTTTTTTTTTAGTCAGAGTAATGTTTTTGAGATTCATCCATGTTATTGTATATCTCCTCCATGTATACCAAGGGTGAACTGTAGTACATTCTTTTAGATTGTTGAGTAGTATTCCATTATTTGAACATACCATAATTTGTTTATCTCATCTCTTGTTGATGGATATTGGGTTATTTCCAGATTTGGGGAACGATGAATAAGGCTGTTATGAACATTCTCGTGGAGGTGTTTTGCTGCTTGCAGATATGTTTTTATTTCTCTTGGATAGAGACTTAGAAATTAAGCTGCTGTATTATAGGGTAGGTATATGTTCAACTTTATAAGAAACTACTGCACTGTTTTACAAAGTAATTATACCTTTTTCCACTCATATATATGAGGGTTCTAATCATTCCACATTCTTGCCATCATTTTCTATTGACAGTTTCTTATAAAGACACCATTCTAGGTAGTGTGAAATGATATCTCATTATAGTTTTGATTTGCATATTCCTGTTGACTATGATGTTCAGTATCTTTTCATAGACCATAGATGATTTTTATATCTTCCTTTGTGATGTGTCTGTTCAAGCATTTTGCCTATTTGGTCTTTTTTTTTGACTTGTAAGAATTCTTTATATATTCTGGATAGGGGTCTTTGTCAGATATATGTATTAAAAATACTACTCTCCAGTGTGTGATGGCTTGCTTGTTCATTTTCTTAATGATGTCTTTTGATAAACAGAAAAAAAATTAATTTTGATAAAGTTCATTTAATCTATCTTTTCTAGCGCTTTTTGTTTCCTATCTAATAAATCTTTGCCTATTCTTATTCTCTTACTATAAGAGGTCCTCAGGCTACCAATCAGGCTTGATGATTTACTAGAAGGACTCACAGAACTCAGAGAAGCTATTATACTCATGGTTACAGTATATTACAGTGAAAGGATACAGATTAAAATCAGGAGAGGAAAAGGGTTAGAGTCTAGGAAAAACAAGTCCGGTATTTCCTGTGATGAAGAAACACTGAGGGGGACAACAGGTTTGTGAGTGTAGAAGTAGAATCAAGAGTTCAGTTTGCAAAGTATTAAAGTTGAGATGCATATGGGATATCCAAGAGAAAATGTTTAGTGGCCCATATAAGTCCGGAGTTCAACGGGAAGGGTAAAACTGAAGACATAAATTAAGGACCGTTCAGCTATAGACAGGATGTAAAGCCATGAACTGGGCTGAGATCCTCTAAGGAATGATTTATTGATAGAAAAGAAAGAAGCTTGGGGCAGGGGTATTCCAACATTTAGAGAAGAGAAGATTTCAGCAGAACATGGCATGAGGTGGAATGGCCACTGAGACAAGATCTTGTGTTTATTATGGAACTATAGAGGTTCTATATACATTAATGATTTTATAACTTGTCAGTTACATCCACTACAAATATTTTCCTAATTTTCTATTTATCTTTTGATTTTTATTTTTGACATATCTACTTAAAAATATTTGTTGTATAGCCAAATCTATCAGTTATTCCCTTTGTGATTTCCTCCATTAATGTTAAAGTTAAAAAGTCTTCACACAATTATTTATCAATTAAAAATAAATAAATAAACGATTAAAAAGTTCTCAGATAACTATTGGTCAGATAGGCACTTGTACTTTTTCCATGTTTGCTTGTTTGAGTATGCTTTGGAACTTATTTTGGTGTGTGGTAAGGTTGTAAGTTACCCAGCGACATCTATTAACTCTTTCCTTGCTCACTGGTCCGTTATGTCTTCTATTTCACATACTACATTTCATTAGTTCAATTTCAATTTTAAGCTTTGAAATTACACAAGAGATGATGAAAAACTTTCCTTCAAACCATCAAACAATACTTTGCATAAGAATCTCAGTGTGCTTACACAGAATTATGTAAAACAGAAACATTTTGCAGAAGAAAAATACAGGAAGTGAAGGCTACATAGAAGAAAATAAAAACATGGATGGGAGAAAGGAAATGTTCAGTACATTTCCTTTGGGGGAAAAATGTTAAAAATGTAAAAAAAAAAATGGCATACAACAAATATATGTTGAATGCCTTCCCTATACCAGGCATTGTCATAGCTGCCACAAAGCATCTGATGAATAAGACAAAGTACCTGCCCTCACATAAATGAATCATATAACTTCAGTTAGTGATGATGGGATAGAGTGAACAGGGAAGAAGACAGGTAGGGAGGTGAAGAGTGGCCTCTCTGAGGTGATATTTGGGCTCAGCCCTAAATCATGAAGAGGCATGGAGAGATGGGGTAGAAGTTCTGTAGCAGGAGGGAAGAGTCAAATGCAAAGGCCCCAAGTAAGGAAGGGCAAGAAACAGAGAGGGTCAATGAAGTTGTAGAGAAGTAAAGAGAAGAGCAGAGTGGAAGGAGATAAGCTCAAAGAGAGAAAAAAGGGCCACAGGAAGAAGACTGAATTATCAATGACAATAGGAAGCTTCTGGAAGAGTTTAAGTGGAGGTGTGATATGATTTGTTATAAATTAAGATTTCTTTGGCTGTTGTGTGAAAAATAATCTGGTGGGGCAGGGAGAAGGGGAGAGAAAGGATTTCAGTTATTTCTTGTATTAAAAAAAGAACCTAATATACCATGTTCTTTTAAACATACCCAAACTAAATTCTTGACATAATGGGGAAGAAATACCAGTGATTAGACAGTAAGATTCCAGAGGGCAGGGATTTTGGTCTTGCTTGTTCACTGGGCATCTCTAGTAACTAAAATAATCAGAATTTATCACTCAATAAAAATTTGTTGAATTAAATGAACAAGTGACTGTAGGGAATAGCTTTTTATTTGTGTAACAAGACAGATATGAAATGAACAAAGAGAAAAGAACTTCAGAGAAGTCTCATGGGCTATGGAACTGGTCTCATAATTATATAGTATATCAAACTACGGGACAAACAGATTTCAATCAAAGATGGGTAATTTTACAATAACATTAAACCAAGACAGGGTTCAAAGTTTAAATTTAAACTTTAAATTCAAGTTTAAATTTAGCTACTTTGTTGTAAACTTCTTCCCACCCCTAGACTATGAGTTCCTATGCAGCAGGAATTATAACTTATTTTTAACTCTCCAGTAACAGCAGAACACATTGTGTATATGTACTCCATAAATGTAAATTTAGGCTGTTGGAATTCTACTGAAGAAAAGCTAGCAGATAGGCAAAATGCTTAAGGAAGAAAATTCGGACAACTTGGCAGCATTTATCATTACTAACATTTTTGTCTTCCAGAGTAAACTTTGAAATTACATTCTAATTTGAAATGGTTCTGGTTTGACAAGTTAACTCTTGAGACATCCGAATATAGTATTATGAAAGAATAAAACTGTTCATCAACCCTTTACGCCAATGTTAATTTCTTTTAAAACTAGGATTTTAATGTTTTTTTTATTCCTACAGTGACCCTTAAAATTTCTATGTATGCAATCACAAACGCACACACAAGATGCATTTATAAGCTTATTGTGTAGTTCTAAAGACAGCTGGGAAACCCAATTTTAATTTTGTTACTGAAATAATTTAAAAATATATTGTAGAACTGCCTCTTTTCAATCAACAGCAAAAATCCAGAAAGAGATTATACATGTAGGCACAATTTATTCAGGTTTATTAGTGTTAGAAAAATGAAGTTGCCTAACTTCAAACTGTAACAAGTACTCTTATATTTATTTAATTTTTCATCTTATCACTGACATCAATATATACCATTTTCTTAGGCCTTTAAAAACATTTCGATAATTTATTTAACAAAAATCCATTATGTACCTCAGCCACTGATATGCTAAAATCTGGAAGATTATTTTCAGCAATGTGTAAAATTTCCTGATGACCTCTGAGACCGTCTTGTGATTTATAACTATCATCAGAGAATGGGGACTTACCGGCTTTTATTCATGAGGTCTGCTCCCCTTGCTTTGTAATAATCTAAGTTTGGGTGGAATTGATAAGTCACTGGTCTTGGATTTCTCTAAAGGAAAAACAAAACAAGAAATTAAAATGTATAAAGCTATTTAAATTATACATTAACATACAAAAGGACAGAAATAATCATTTTTATATTACTTCAGAAAAGAATATACATAGTAATAAAGTTTAATAATCAGTGTGCTTGGATTTTGCTTTTTTTATGCTCTTTCTTGATTAAGCATTAAAATTATCTTAATATGTTTTATTTTTACCTATCTTATGGTTCACATAGATTTATTCCTGTCATTAGAGTTATTATCTATTTATTTTTTTGAGACGGGGTCTCACTCTGCTACTTAGGATGGAGTGTAGTGGCTCACTTATAACTCACTGTAGACTCAAACTCCTGGGCTCAATGATCCTCCTGCCTCAGCCTCCTGAGTACAGGTGTGTGCCACCATGCTCAGCTAATTTTTTAAAAAATTTATTTTGTAGAGATAGGGTATTGCCATGTTTCCCAGGCTGGTCTCGAACTCCTGGCTTTCAAGGAATTCTCCCACCTTGGCCATTCAAAGTGCTGGGACTATAGGCGTGAGCCACCATGCTTGGCATAGATTTATTTTGATGATTTCAGAATATAACTTTCAAATATAACTTTCCAAAATAAAATGAGACAAAATTATAACAAAACTTAAAAACCATATGAGATGTAACACAAGCACAAGCTATGCTAAAAGGCTGAGAGATACAAGTAATCAAGGTAACTGCATTTTGAAGAGTTAAAATGACCATGGTTTTTGTGAACAGAATTCTAAATATGTCCACTAGATGGCACGCTGAGTCTTTCTTCTCCTAAAATCAGTTCTTTCAGAATTCAGTAATTCTCTTAAAGTTAGCAATTTCTATGTCATCTACCCTTATTTATGAGGTTAATAAGTGTCCAAAATATGCCAGGTAGTGGCAATATTAGTAGGACAACCATTACAATACAAAATCAAATTGACCAATGCCTATTTTCATAAAAGCAGCAATAACACTGCCTTTCTGTGATTTAATGTTATGTATAAACATTGCAGAAATGTTCTTGAATCATTACCTTGGGTGTGTCCACTTAAACGCATTGCTATTATTTAAATATACCTATTATTTAAATGTATCAAGTCCATCATAGGCAAATAAAAATTAAACAAATATACTTCTACTTTATAATGACCTAACCATATTTATAAGAATAACTTAAAAGAATATCATCATCTCTAAAATGCTAAATTACATGCATTTTCCATTTAAAAAGTTTTTTAAAAGCTTACAAATAAATATGCTCTAATATTTATTTGCACATATAATTCAAGTTAATAATTTGAAGAAGGGCAGGCACCATCCTTTCGGAGATATTCTAGACACAGAAAAGCTGTGTTTTATCTCAATAGAAAATTACCAATATGCTTAGATATCAATCCATGGAGACATAATCCCAAGGCACTGATATACATGCATGTAGGCATAAGGCAGGCGGAGGACGTAATTGCTAAGGTTAAATAGTTTGAAATTCATCAAGCTAACAAGCTGCATCTTAATGGCCATGATGGACCTTTTCTTTTTCTGCTGAAAAGAGAGTATTTACACAGCTCAACCCTATCATATCTCTTCCAAGCCAGCCCTAATCATCTGACAAAAATGACAATCCCTTGATTTAGCTCCAGCTACTACTCCACTGGTTTGGTATTCAACACAGTTCTACAATAATCAAATCTGAATTGCCTTGATGAAGATAACTGATGCTTCCATGACTACCATACTATTAAGTCTAACAGTGCAACTTTTCTCTCTCCAGGAATTACATAGGTTTCCTCATAGTAGCTGATGACAACCTGAACCCGAGTATAATGGGAAAATAAAATAGAGGTTAAAGCCACTGGCAGATTGACAATGCATTCATGATTTATTTTAAAAACTAACTTTCGAAGGACTATCACTCATGACTAATTTTGCACTTTATTCTCAGTACCTGGAAATACATTTTGTTTTTGCTATTATAAAAGGCTTTTCTTCTCTGACTTCCAACAAACTAATAAAGGATTATGTTACTTTTTACTAGAAAATAATGAAAGAAAAGATCACATGGAACAATTTCTTGAAACATCTTTATAAAGAAATGACAAGCAATTCAAGACACGCAGTGCTGATCTATCTAAGCACTTAAAGCCATTATTAGGAATAATGATCTAACTTGAACACAGAAATGAGGCTCAAGTATTGCTTTCACTGAGGCCTATTTAAATTCCTACGAGACTTACTGGTATCAAAGAGAGAGGCAGTTTAAAGTACCACTGTACTGGCAACAAACAAAAAAGAATCAAAGATAATGTCAAAAAATAGCATTTGAAATGTTAAGAAAATAAAATCAGAGGTTATGGTTCAAAGTTATTCAATCGGGTTTTCTGTTGAGGAGGTGATGCTGTTTCTAAAACATAAATATACAGACATATAGATGATCTAGACTAGTGCTATCCAACAGAAATGTAATTTGAGTCAAAATGCAAACTTCGTTTGTCATTTGAAATTTTCTAGCAGCCACATTAAAAAAGAAAAGAAAAACCAGGTGAAATTAAGTGTAATAATATATTTTATTTAATATAGTATATCCAGAATATTGCCATTTTAATATGTAATCAATATATAAAATTATCAATAAGATACTTCACATTCTTTCTTTTGTACAAAGTCTCTGAAATCCTGTATGTATTTTATACTTATAGTACATCTAAACTTGGACTAGCCACATTTCAGGTGCTAAAAAGCCGCATGTGGCTAGTGGCTACTGTACTGGATAGCACAGAACTCAATGTCTGACATATGCAAACCATTACATGACTATAAAAATCAGCATTTAGACATGAACAATAAAAAGGGTAAAAATACTTTTATACATTGAGATTCAGTACTAGAAGCTCTTCAATTTACCTATAATTCTTCTCTTTCAATTAAGTTAGTTTTTTTCCCTTCTGAATAAGTTTTAAAAAGTTAATAAATTTTGGAATACCTTCTCACACAAACAAAAAACAAGTTAAAACTAAATAATAGGTTCAAATCATTGTTAAAAATACACATACAAATGTACATACATAGGTAAATGGATAGACAACTGTGACTATGTAGCGAAATGATATCAATGGTTTCCTCAGGAGATGAAATGAAATGAGCCAAATTCTAACTTTATGCAATTGAAACATTTTAAAAGTAAAGAGATATTTTCTCTTCTTATTTTAAAAGATTTTTTCCAAATAAAACTTGCAAAAAATATAATAATTATGATTTCTAATCTCTAAAGATCTAGAATTTTCTCTAAAATATAAGAGCCACTAGAATTCTAATATGTAATACCAGACCCCATGACAACTGTAATTTCTCATTGTGCAGAACAGGTTATGTCAACACTTTAATATTACATCTTCATCTATATTGGAACAATTAGTAATTACAGTCAGGCGTTAATGAAGGGGATATGTTCTGAGAGAGGTGTCTTTAGGCAACATCATCGTTGTGGGAACATAATAGAGATCTTACACAAACTTAGTTGGTTAGGCCCATTATACATGTAGGCTGTATGGTACAGTCTATTGCTTCTAGGCTACAACTCTGTACATTATGTTACCATACTGAATACTGTAGGCAACTGTAACACAATGGTATTTGTGTACCTAAACATATTTAAACATATAAAGGTACAGCAAAAATATAGTAGTATAATCCTACGGGATCACCATCATATATGTGCTCCGTAGTTGATCCAAACATTGTAATTTGGCACATGACTGTATTTTAAACTCATTTTCACACAGTTAGGACTTCAACTACTATGATTGTTTCCAAACCAATTTATATTTTTGTAAAATGTTTTTTGTTTTGGTGAATTTTTCTTTGAGAGAAAGACAAGAAAATGGTAATTATATCTTAACTCTGTGTATGGAAGAATACCAATTATATTGCATGTCCTGGAGAGTCTATGTAACTACACACAAAGATGAAGAAATCACAAATTCAGTCCACCCTGGATTTACCATGCCTTTCCCAGACCAAACAGGATGGGCTTAAAATAAGTCTTTCACAAGATTTCAGCCAGTTAACGTCCCAAGTATCACTCAACTCTTTTCTGTTCAAGTTGTTGAAACTCTATTTAAAGCCTTCTCTTCAGTATTTTATTTTACGGCAATTTAAGAAGAATGCTGAAAATTCCACCCATGGCATGGACAGGCTGGAATTTTGGGAGGCATTTTAAAAGTCTAATGGACAAAGAGACTTACAGAAGCAGATCTGACAGTGGTAGAAACAAGTGTCCTAGAGGAAACTATATGGAAAAACAAAACAAAACTAAGCAAAACCCAGGCTGTGCTTCTGACTTTACAAATGCTTTCGTTAATTTAGCACAACCACAAAATCAATTTACAAATAGTGCTTAAATGGCATTGATCAATATAAGAGATAAAACTGAAATCTATCTAATCTCTCAGTTACAGTTAACTTTCTTCACTTCTGAGGTCTATATTCTATGCTAGCAACCTGCTATGTAGTGCAATTTCAGGCAAAACAAACACCCTGTCCCAGAATGAGTATGAGTTGGATGGTGAACATCTCCCTCGGGCCACACTCTATAACGGAAGACTGTACATCAGCATACAACCCTCCTCCCCCTGCCACTCTTTACCCGCATGGCCGCGTTTCAGTATTTTAAGTTCAAACTCAACTTTGTTATGGTAGTATAAAAATATTTAAATGCTAATTCAGCTACAAGAAGTAGAAAGAACTACAAGATAGTACATGACAATTTTCCTTGTTCTGAGCTGGTGAAATCAAGCTCATCTAACAAAAGTCATTATAAATACTGCTTTCTGGATTGATCCCCTAACTACTAATCCTCACTTGAAGATGGTATCTCCTTTTGAATCGTCATATAAAGACTCCAGAAGGAAAAAAGTCTGAGGTACTCATCTGGCTTTGAATGACACAATATTTTCAAAGGGTTGGCTATTTATAAATACCTGCAGAACTCAAAAGTGCAAA